GGGTTTTTGTCGTAAAAAATTTACAACAACAAGTTCCTATCAAAATTAAAGTCAAATATCAATATCTCAAAACAAATTATCCATATATAAAAACCATTCTAGAAAAATCAAGCAAATCACAAATTAACTATACAAATTGTTCAACACCAATCTAGAAAACTCAAGAAAATTGAAGCCAATCACAAATTATCCATAAATAACATGATTAATTGAAAGCTTCTTCCTTTCAATTAAGTTTCTTCACTCTCCACTCGATAACATCAACTTCATTCTAAACAATTAAAAAGAAAAATTAGAAATGTCTCCACAAATATAAATAAGATTAGTTGTTTAGAATATTAAATATACCGAGAAAATTAATTATATGAGTGTGGACGGGTACTCATGGGCCGGGTTTACCTAAACCCAAACCCAACCCAATCCGATGAATAGTGAACGAGTTTAATCCCAAACCCGGTCCAAAATCCGTCAACACGGATTTTACCCGCATTGACCGGATGGGTACCTGTGGGTTCGGGTTTTGTTGTCATCCCTACTTGGAAGGGAGCTGTTGTTGCCCACAACACCTTATAAGGGAAGTCCTCCTCAAGAGACTCCAACTTATCTTTTACTAGGCGTTTATAAAGAGAATGCACGCTAAATCTGGTCGAAGACTCGAAGGACAAGGCAACCACGTTACTTATAGTACCTATCTATCATAGACAAAGAGAACATTGTCTTTCAAGCAAATTCAATATACTTAATTGTTAGAGTAGTAAAAAGAGTTAAAGGAAATACTATATTGGTGGAAGAAGGAAAGTGCAAGTAGTTTTTAAGTTTATCTCCCATTTTATTTTATTGGATAAAGTGGTTAGTGGGTTTTTGGGGAAAATGTGTGCTATTTGATTTGACATATTAAATTGCACTACGCGTTTGGAATTAAACTTTTGGTTATTTAATTAATTTATGGAATGAATTTTGGATAATTAAGTAATTTTAAGTTTTTTTAAACGACATAACCCTTAAGAAGGGAACTGACGTTTTCTCACAATAAAAGAGATGTTTGGCCAGAAGTAAAGTTCCAACGTTCAACTTCTTATCTGCTTCCCGTTTTCCTTCTCAAGAACACAAACACAGAAGTCCAAAAAGATTGCTGCTTTCGGACTTTGATTGAAGGAACTCCAGGGGGTGATTTACCTAATTCCTACCAGCAATTTTGTAGTGAGGGCAAATAACGCTCTAAAGAGAGTGATTAATCACGACTTCAATCTGCTTTCTTCCTAAAGTTTTCCTGACATTAACCTCTTCATCTTAGCGCCACCTCTTGAAGCAAATTCAAGAGGTATTTCCCAACATCCAATTAAATATGTATAACTAGAAGTTGAATAATTATTATTGGGCGGTATGGATAATTTCGAAGCTTAATATTGTGGGTGATGTGCATACACGATTTTCCTACTATTCAATTTGAACTCGTTCGATTATAGGTGCATGACTATAACTTGTCATAATTTCTCTCAAAATACACTACATCCGTAATAAATATATAACATTCCAAAATGAACTTGTGTTTATTATTATTATTATTATTATTATTAGTATTATTGATGGAGGTGATAAACTTTATTAAAGAGAGAGTGTTCAAAATTGTACAAAAGGAGATAAGGAGGAATGATCTCACAGACAAAAGAAACAGAAGAGAAAAGGGAAAAAAACCAAATAGAAAATCCGGACCAAAACAGAAAAGAAGCAGGGGAAGTCGATACAAAGGATCCAGCAGACCAAACCAGCAAGAACCCCCTGCTCGAAATAGATCCAAATGACCAGAACTTCCCTCAATCATTGACTCTGTCGAAGACGTTCTCGAATCCAGGAAGCAGCACCCAGACGATCGATCTTTCCATTCGCAACTCCCCAACCTGCAACATTCTTCAAGACTTTCCTAGCGATCTGATCCGGGTTCCTCAAGATACCATTAAAAATACTGCTATTTCTTTCCAGCCAAATGCACCAACAAACATTATTATTATTATTTCTCTTAAGATTGTTGACCTATATTTGTAAATTCTTTATTTGCATAATGTGAACATAAACGCAAATAGTAACATATTAGATCAAGTAATAAAGAAAACAATTATTATATGTTCTGATATCCCATGGATAACATAAACTCATATAGGCATTGGGTATAACTTTGATTTATTGTCTGAATCTTCTTTGCGTATGAAGAGGAATCAAACAGGAAGTAATAATTAGAGTAAAGTAACATGTATACATTATTCGTCGAACTTATATGCTGTCATCCCTATGTTCTTAGAAGAAGGAATGAAGTAAAAATGTATACACTATGCATATCCGTACTTCAACAGACTACTCGTCACCATCCCAATTTTTACCAGGGGTAAAAAAAAAAAAAGATAAGAGATCAGGATCAGTGGCGGATTTAGGGATGAGTCTCTCCGAGTCACAATCCAGCTCTCCTTTGGGCCCAGATCTAGTATAGCAAATGAGAGACCTTCTAACTTCCCGCCTCGCTCGGCTTCTTTTGGCGTCCAAGTACCATTTGGATATATAATTGTCTATTTAAATGCGGTACAGTGCTCTACTATACGTTATACGAAACCGCTCCGAATTCAGATAACAAACTAGTCATAGCGCGCCTTAGAGCTTGAGTGATAGGTCAAGCTTATGCAAGCCATCATTTTGGCCCTCATCCAACCGACCACCACTCATCTCGCCGCGGACTCCGAGCGTTGGCGGCGGATGTGGAAGAAGTGGCGCGGCGGCAGATCTACTCATCCTCGTCATCATCGGCATCAGTTTTCCAGCTGGCCGAACAGCTGAAGAAGAAGAAGAAGAAGCAGAAGACCCCTGGTGGAGAAGAGAGTGAGAGTGGGGTTGGATGCCAAACGGCGCCGCGCCGTAATAAGCTTGCCAATAAGGGCTGTAGCCAAAAGCACTTCCACTGTTGTTTCTGATCATGAGGAGGCCTCTTTTGGCGAGCGTCCGCTCTCTTTTGTGAGCGTTTTGGTGGCCGCCGAGGGCTTGAGAGTTGAAGAACTTCCTGTGGCAGAAGTTGCAATGGAACTCTATTACCTTGTGCTCCTCCTCCTCCTCTCTACGGTGGTTCAAGCAGTCGATGAGGTTCAGCTCGCGAACATGGTGATCATCAGCATAAGCTTTCTGGTTCATTATTTGGGTAATTAATTAAGTACGGTGGTTGAAAGGGATGGATATAGGCTATAGGGCATAGTTAGTAAATACTCCGTTTAATACACGTATATGTACCCGTACGTACTTTATCCGTTTAAAACTTCCGTATCCGTATTATTGTCAAGCCGTTTCATTTTTGTCCGTTCATTTGATGGCTCCCGTATTAAACACGTATAAAACCCGTATAACACGTTTAATATCCGTATTTAATGAATTAAATTGCTAACTTTACTATTATTTATATATTTATTTATTTTTAAAATGATTAATTTTTCTATATTTATGACAATTAACGTACTATTAAACGTAACATTAGCATACAGACGAAGTAAAATACCCGTACGTATTTTATACGTAACATTCCTGTACCGTATTTTACTAACTATGCTATAGGGTTAGGACGGAAGTAACTGATGAGCTTGTTTTTCCGAGGTCTGGCCTGAAAAGGGAACATCCACATTTGGTCTTTTATGGAGGAATTAAAGAGCATTTGGGATTCTCATTCTCTCCTCTAAATGATATATTGGCATCCACCTCACATTTCTATTCTTTGTCTTCTTCTTCTTTATGGGCTCAATTATTCATGGTTGAAATGTTACATTTCATTTCCACCAAAAGGGATACTACACAGTATATGTGTCGGAAAATCTAGCTCAATTTCATGTTGTTGGGTAAATTATTAATTATTATACCATTTCACTTGAATCACTTTGAGGGGGAAAAAACTAGTCATAGTTGTACTGATGGATCCGAGATATCACTGGTATCTCACGTCATCATGTTAGATTTCTTAATAATTCATAATAATATCGTGTAACAACTTGCAAGAGATTATACTCTTTCCTACAACAGAATTCCAAACAGTCTCCCTGTTCTCCCTCCCACTCTTATTAAAGGAACGAGGGAGGAGCTTGATACTCCGGTACTTTCTTGTATTCCAATTTCCAATCCTTTCAGTATTGTAAAACTCACTCGTCCTCTTGAATTTCAGAATGACAATTCTCGTGTTTCGGTTAGTTTAGAGACTAAAGAAAAAAAAAAGCGAGGATCGCTACGTCAAGAAAGTCGTAACTAAAAATTCTCCTCAAGTAGGATTTGAATCTAAATTCAAGAAGCACCATACTTGAACAAAAATGAGTTCATAATTTTTTTTTCATACCCTAAGAATAAAAGGTTGCGATAGCAAGCTCCTCACTCGCTTGAGAGCCTACCACTTGGGTAAAATCTTAAAATCAATGTAGTCAAAAATTAGTTTTCAAGCCTAAAAGTCTAGGCTTTTTTATGCATTAGACCTAAAAAAACCTGCAGCTTTTGTTACCAAAAGCCCAATAAAACCACTAGTAATTAAAAGCGGTCAAGCGCAATAAATTCCTCAGAAGCTAGATTTTAAATCATTTTTTAGACTTATGATATATATATGATTTTAGGATCAAGTTGGGCAGAGATTTTGTTGGAAAAAATGACACAATTTTAATGGCTAAATTACACGTTTGGTCACTCAAATTATACAAATCTTTCACGTTTGCCACCCGAATTATTTTTCTTTCTTATTCGCCACTAACTTTACGAATCGTTTCACGGTTGGTCACCGGCCGTTACACTCCGTTAAGTTTGTCCTACGTGGCAGTCAACTATAAAGTTTGACCGTTAACTAGATGACGTGGAAATTAAAAATTTTTTTTTTTTCTTTCTACCTCATCATTGCACTTATTTTGTCTATATAATTTATTATATTAATAATTTAATAAAATTTAATAGATTATTTTTTCTTTCTACCTCTTCACACTTCACTTCACCATTGATCACAAGCCAACGGTCTCTTTAAGCCGTGCAAGGAAACAGAGAGGTGCTGCAGAACTGATCAACCGATCGCCTCGCAGCAACAACGAGTAGGAAAAGACCAAGAAAATGAGGAAAAAGGCAGCGAGGGGAACGAGCAAGAGAACTCAAGAGAGCCCAAAAGAGCAGAGAGATGAATTAGGAGGATCTCTCAGGAGATCGGCGAGGCTGCAACCCACTTCAAGTCCTGGCTCTCCTCAACTGCGCCCTAACCCTGCTTCCTTTACAAAGAAACCCAAAATTCAGGTTCTGGTAGCTTATTAATTTCCCTCTTCTCCCTTGTTTTGTGTCAAAATGGAAGATCTTCTATTTTTGGCGCCTGAAAGTGAAGATATGGAAAATGGGTTTGAAGCCCCTAGGCCCTAACCCTACCCGCTCTTTGTTTCTTAAGAGGGTTTTCTTATTTGGATGTTTTGGTTGCTGAGAAAAGGAAAATGAGGGAACTTTTGAAGGAGCAGGGTTTTCTGTTTTCGGGTAGTAACTTGGGGCCATTTGTTGATAAGCCATCTGAGAATTGAAATCGGGGGAACGCTTCGAAGTGGGATTTTTCAGTTTTGCTTGCTCTCTTCCAAGAATTGAAATCGTGGACCCGTTGAAGTTTCTGCCTTCTGGTGTTGGAATGGGGGTTTAACTGCTGCGTTTTCTTTCTGCAGGGTCACGCTAAGAGCCCTTGGGTTTTTCCAGAGCTATTTCCCAGATCCTCAACAAAGCCCGTGCTCACTCCTTGCACCCTGGGTTTGCATTCTTCTAAAATGGTGGAGAAACCTAGCATATTTACACACCAAGATGCTGCTGCTAGTGAACCTGCTGATGAAGAAGGCTCCAGCTCCAGCAATTTGTCTCCTGGTAAAGAGACCCTGGGGCGCCGATGTCCATGAGCTTCGCCTCTGGATGTCCATTTTTATAATCTATTAAATTTTATTAAATTATTAATATGATAAATTATATAGACAAAATAAGTGCAATGATGAGGTAGAAAGAAATTTTTTTTATTTTTTTTTAATTTCCACGTCATCTAGTTAACGGTCAAACTTTATAGTTGACTGCCACGTAGGACAAACTTAACGGAGTGTAACGGCCGGTGACCAACCGTGAAACGATTCGTAAAGTTAGTGGCGAATAAGAAAGAAAAGTAATTCGGGTGGCAAACGTGAAAGATTTGTATAATTTGAGTGACCAAACGTGTAATTTAGCCCAATTTTAATTAAGTAGAGTTATTCTTTCAGTCTTTCTTTTTATGAATCTTTTTATCTTATTCATCGGCATTTCTCCTCCATTATCTATTCTTGCTACCTTCAAATTAGCACATGTCGCACAAACGTCCTCTTCGACGATTTTCGGCCACCTCGATGCCTCCAGCTTGCTATTCTGCTAACTCCCCTTAACGTTGCAACTTTGGCGGCATCATTCGACTTGACAGCCCACCTCATCATTGAAATTCCTACCTCAGACATCTGACTCTAGGGGTGGCAGAACGGTTTCCGGTTAGCAGTTAACCGGACGGTTTCAACCGAACCGACCGGTTTTCGGTTAACCGAAAAACCGTTTCTGAAGAGGACGGTCGGTTGGCGGTGGGTTGAAGCAGGGGTCCGGTTAGCCGACTAACCGGGGTCGGAAACCGGCGGTTAACCGGCTAACCAACCCCTGCCCTTTCCCCTTAAACGACGCCGCCCCCACTAACCCTAACCTAAGCATCTCCATTCTCCACCCTCGCAGTCGCAAGTCGCAGCTTCCTCCCCCAATTCCCAAATCAGTCGACAATCGACATTCTCCCTTCCCCTTCTCGCCTTCCCCCTTCTCTGAGAGACCAGCCCTTCCGCCTCGGGCCTCCACCATCGTCGCCGCCTCCACCTCGCCGCCTCCACCTCGCAATCGGCCCTCCTCCTCCCAATTCCCAAATCACTCGACAGTCCCCCTTCTCGCCTTCCCCCTTCTCGCCTAACAGTCACAGTCTCTCAGAGACCAGCCCTTCCCCCTCCACCATCGTCGGCGCCTCCACCTCGCCGCCCCGCCGACTCCACCTCCGCCTTCTCCCTGCCCCTCGTCGCATGGCAGAGGCTCTTCCATAAGGCGCATGCAACGACCGGTCGATTGCAGACCAGCAGAGAGAAACTAAAAGCAGAGCAGCAGAAGGGGTCGGAAGGTTTGCGGCTTTGCGGGGAGGAGGTAGACACACCGATTTTTTGGTTTGCGGGGAGGAGGTAGGCCTCCAGAATCTCTCGGTAGCCGCTGCTGCCTCTGCTGGCCGTCGTGGTGTTCGTCGCCCCGATTTAGGAATCGGCCGACGACGGGCTCCACGCCGGGGTTGCCGAAGGAGAAGGGCTTGCCGCCGGGGGAGAAGACGATGATGGCGATCTACGGCGCAGAGGGTGGCGAGCTCGTTGGCTTTCTTGAAGAGTCCGGTCCGGCGCTTGGAGAAGGTGACTTGCCTGCAGCTTCGGTCCGTCACCATCTTCATTTCTATCTTTCGCCTCCCCAGTGGAGATTTATTGTCCGATGGAGATTGGGGGAGTCCCTAGCGCTTTGTTGTACCTCCTCCCCGGTGGTCGAAGACAGAAGAGAGGGTTACTTTTTTGCACGATGTGGTCGAAGACAGAAGGAGAGAGAAGAGAAGATAAGGATTGACCGGTGGAGATTTTTTTGAATTAATTAAAATTTTTTTTTTAGAAAAGGAAGGATTTTCGGTTGGCCGGCTAACCAATCCTAAATCCAAAACCGACCGATCGGTTGGCCGGCTAACCGTGACCTTCCTCCCGGTCGGTGATCGGAAGCTATAGGGGTGGCTCGGTTTAACCGATAACCGAGTTTTCGGTTTTCGGTTAAATCGAAACCGACCGAATGCCACCCCTATCTGACTCTGCCTCCATCAAAGATCCTTCTCCTTCAGCATCACACTTGTTGTCGCTTTCACTGGTTAGAAAAGTATGATGAGTGAGAATAACCCTTCTAGCTTCATCATTCACCGCTCATTTCCTTATTTTTTTTATTTTATTCCTGAAAGCAATATAAAGGCGTTGAATGCTTGTTAAGATTTTATTAATTTGGTTTATTAATGAGAGAATGATGTTTTATATATGAGTTATTTCACTTATTGGTTTATATTTTGCAGAATAGAAGTTATAGTCAGAAGATTTCTATCAAATTTATAGGATAAGTAAAAGATTTAACTTTAACATTTATGTTTCTACCCATCATTTTGCTTCTACCTAGAAGTTAGACTTGTCTGCATTACTCATAATCAAGTATACCCCTCAACATGGTAGAAACCGAAATCCTTGCTTTATAGATGATTGTCTAGGGATTGTGCGGTGGATTTTTCCCAAATCACATAAGTGTGAAATTTTGGCGGTTTGGTATGTCATGCTACATTCTCGTCTACTTTTAATTACGAGGATAATTTTGATTTTAAAAGCATGATTTGACCATAGTATATTAAAAAACCGGCCCCACCTACTTATTCCCATCCCTATATTGGATTATTGACTTGCTGTATGAGAATACTACGTGTCACTTTTAATTAATCCAAAAATAATTCTCACATTAGAATCCCTTGACTTAATCCTAATCATCAAAGCTAACACCCCTACTGAATGACATACTATTTTTTTTTAACGTGAAATTACATACTTTAGTCTATACTTTGTGATCTCAAATGAAAAGCAACATGTATAGATTTGAAAAGGTCAATAAAAGTGATAATCATTTAGAAAAAAATTGAAACATTATGCGTAAGGTTAACAGTACTCATCCAGAAAAGTATATTTAAGAATTCAAGCCGATAAACCGTTTTAATAGTATCTTAAGTACTGTGTAGTAGTTATCAGGGGGCAGCAATTTTAATCTTAACTAAGCCGATAATGATTTGCATATTACGACACTTATGTAAGACTCGGTTTGGTAATTGGTATACGACAAGGGGGTCGGATACTATGCTAACCCCTAAAGGGGTAGTGGTTTTTGACACCCTCCTCTTGATTGGTTACTTTTCCATTTAAGCTTTTTACTTTATTTATTGTAATCTTGTAAATTGGGAAAGCCTTAATTGTGATAATAATTATGAATGGGGAAGGAGAAAAACGTTGGTAATTATGAATGGGGAAGGATCTGGGGAAAAACGAAATCACCCCCATTAATTACATAATTAATTTCTCTCACTGGTACATTAATTACACGTACCACTCCACTGGTACACGTACCACTCCACTGGTACACGTACCACTCCAATGGTACACGTACCACTCCACTGGTGCGAGCAATCCACAAGGTAGGTTAGAGTGAGAACAATACCAGTGCAATGATATTTTTCATAACAATGATAAACAATAATAGGGAAAAAATAGGAACTTTCCATTAGTAGCCAAAAACTGTGTTCCAAAATGGGTTGCAAAATTAGGGAAATGCCAACAACAATGCCAAAAGCAATAAATTATCCTTCGAATGTGAATAAACATAAAGTCTTCACAATTTTTTAAGCCTAAACAGGACATATGGTTACACGTACCACTCCACTGGTACACGTACCACTCCACTGGTACATGTACCAGTGGAGTGGTACGTGTACCAGTGGAGTGGTACGTGTAACCATATGTCCTGTTTAGGCTTAAAAAATTGTGAAGACTTTATGTTTATTCACATTCGAAGGATAATTTATTGCTTTTGGCATTGTTGTTGGCATTTCCCTAATTTTGCAACCCATTTTGGAACACAGTTTTTGGCTACTAATGGAAAGTTCCTATTTTTTCCCTATTATTGTTTATCATTGTTATGAAAAATATCATTGCACTGGTATTGTTCTCACTCTAACCTACCTTGTGGATTGCTCGCACCAGTGGAGTGGTACGTGTACCATTGGAGTGGTACGTGTACCAGTGGAGTGGTACGTGTACCAGTGGAGTGGTACGTGTAATTAATGTACCAGTGAGAGAAATTAATTATGTAATTAATGGGGGTGATTTCGTTTTTCCCCAGATTCTTTCTCTTTTCCAATGTGGTGAGAGACCCCAAATTACAAGATTAAAAAAAATAAAAAATCAGTTTAATTAATACTTGCCAATGATTGGAAATAAAATTGGCCAATCATAAAGGGGGTGTCAAAAATCACTACCCCTTTAGGGGTAGTCACGCTAACTGATCCCATACGACAAGCAACACATTTTTTTAATTTAAGGTTGATCCAGTCTTGCAAATGAGAACAAGGCCGGCCTTTTTGCGTTGATACCTAGCTTAGCTAGCCTGCTTGTGCCAGATGGCCGCACAAGAACACGAGTAATATCCATACTGCCATACATAGTAGAACGGAATTAGCCTCAGTACACATATTAAACAACTTTTGATGCTGATGCAACTCAATGAATGGATGTTTGAATGTCAACGTCTCGTACAATAACTTTTGTTTACACCTTCTAGTTAATGTAATAACACAATTATGTTGTACTTTAGTCGAACTATCTATACAAATATACATTGTAATGTCGCATGCAAACATTATTTGTTGAAGAGAAATACACTATAGTTGGCCCAAACTATATTGTTTTGATCATATAATATGTTTAATACCTAAACTGAAAGCGGTAAATTTTATCCTACGGAGGAAAATAGACTATATTGTTAGAAAAACGGTAGACCGTTAAGAATGGTATGACCCATGATTTGTATAATATGATGTATTGATCTCTTGGTCTGGTTTTGTCCATACTGCGATTTACCGGACCGAATCATGGGTCCAGCCGACTTTCCAATTTAAGTTAACATTCCACTCAACCACTCTCCCAAACTTCTTACGAGACCCAAGCCTAAACCCTAATTTTGTGAATATCGTCTCCTACTTCGTCCATAAACCACACTTCGCAACAGAGTAGAGACGCTCATGCCTCCATATGAAATTATATTAATATTTATGATGTTTTGGTGCAAGTTGGGTTGCTCTCACTTTGTAATTTTTTTTTATTTACTTGGATTTAGGGTATCAAAATTATGCATGCGTAAAGGCAGAATACGTAGATTTTTTATGATCAGTTATTGGTTCTATGTGGTATGCCTCATTTGGTCCAGATCATACTATATCATGTCAAACGAATGTAGTATGATGTGAATCGTATAGTATTCTATTTGATCTAATCCCGGCTCTATACTCCAACTTCTCAGTATGATCCGTAGATGATATGTATGGTTCTGTAGACCGTACCGTTTCCAAGGGCTGGATTAAGGTTACATAACGTTGTTAAACGGTTCTTTCTATGCAGTGAACATCTCTAGTGACAGTTAAACCACAGAAAGATGACATCCAAACCAGATCAGAAGAAACAAAACCAACTAACCAACAAACAGAGTATCGATTATACCAATGCTACTTCCCTCCACTATATATTTCTGCAGGCCCGGCCTTCCACAAACCATCAACTGAATCTTCCCCTCCTCCCAAATCATGGCCTCCCCCAAGCTCGCATCAATCGCTCTCCTTCTCACTATCTTCAACCTCATGATCAACACTTCCCACTCTGTTTCTCCAACCTCAAGCCCAGCTCCCGCCCCCACTCCGGCCGCCGCCAGAGCACCATCCGCCGCGCCGCGACAATCCACCCCTTCACCGCCAGGAATAATCAGAGCAGCTTACTGGGAATCCTTCTCCGATTTCCCTCCCTCCGCCATCAACACCTCCCACTTCACTCATGTCTACTACGCCTTCCTCTTACCCGAACCCACCACATACAAACTCAACATCACCCAATCCGACGAAATACTGCTTCCCCAATTCACCTCTGCCCTCTCAGAGAAAAACCCACCAGTGAAAACTCTGCTCTCCATCGGCGGCGCGTTCCCTCCTTCTGTCGCCCAGGTGTTCGCCGAAATGTCCCAATCAACGAAATCCCGCGCCGTGTTCATCTGGTCGGCGATTCGAGTCGCAAGGAAGTACGGATTCGACGGCCTGGACATTGATTGGGAGTACCCGGCGAGCGAACGAGAGATGCGCGATTTCGGTCGGCTGCTGAAGCAATGCCGGCAGACTCTGGCTCTCGAAGCCGCCGTCATGGGGAAGCCACGGCTGCTTTTAACGGGCGCGGTGTATTACTCGGCGAGAATGGAGAACTCTGGGCCGGCCCGCACTTATCCGGGCCCGGAAATGAACAAGTACATGGACTGGGTCAACCCGATGACGTACGATTACCATGGATCGTGGGAGAATTTTACTGGGCCGAACGCGGCCCTGTTCGATCCAAATGGTAAGTTGAGCACCGAATACGGGATCGGTTCGTGGCTCGAAGCTGGTGTGTCGGCCCAAAAGTTGGTGATGGGCTTGCCATTGTACGGCCGGACTTGGGTTCTGGAGGATCCGTCGGATCACGGGATTGGGTCGAAGGCTCTCGCTCCGGGCCCAGGTGAAGGGGTTTTAGGGTACGACGCCGTTCGTGAGTGGAACGCAGCGAACAAGGCGAGCGTCGTTTATGACGGGGAGTCGGTGTCGTATTACTCGGTGGCGAACGGTTCTTGGGTTGGGTACGATGACCAGATGTCCATTGATTTGAAGATCCAGTATGCCCGGATGAAGGGCCTTGGTGGATACTTCTTTTGGGCCCTTGGGCAGAATCGGAACTTTGCTATCCCAAAATTAGGTAAACTTAATCTTCTCTCACTAGTGCTCACCTTTTGTGTGAGGTGATTTTTCGCTATCGTGCTGACGTTATTGGATTGAGTTTTCCGTATTAATTCTAATCATCAGTAATGAGCAGAGGTTGATATAATGGTATCAATGTGTGTTCCTCTAATCAGTATGTTAATTGTGACGTTTGATCGGTAGGTATTCTGACTTAATAGTTTCATTTTTTTCCTGTGCAGCTTCAAGTGCTTGGGAAACCTGAAGGAATTAACAACTTCTAAATCGATAGTTGTCACAATGTCCATTTAGTTATCTCAAATCAATTTATTTTTCTTTTGTCAATGTTAATTATATCTAGTTTCGTGTAATAAGATTATGGTTTGGAATGTCTGGACCGTTGATGTTTGCTCTCGCAGTTTAATGATAAAAAAAAAGTTGGCACTAAGTTCATGGGATTTCACCAATCACACTATTCACCATGCGAGCAACTAATTTGTATTGCAGTACGAAATCAAGGTAACGGTAACGTGATGTTGATCTGGTTTCAAATGTAAGGATCCATTTTTCTGCTCTATGATTTGCACTTCACCGAAGGATCTCGCTAGGTAAACAACTAGACTAGCTCTAAGCGTAACTGTTGTTTTGGTGCGTAATTACAAACAAAAAAAAAAGACATGGAAATACCTATGTATGCAGTTACATGCGTCGATGACTAAAAATATTCTTATTCTGGTTCAGAGCCAGAGAATGCAGCATATGGCATATATTTACATAAGCAGCCAGCAGGCAGGCATCTCTATCGTTTTATGCAGTCGGCCACAAAAAGGCAACTGAACTCCGAAATGATTTTTCTTTTTCCCCTGTAAATCGTATGGTTACTACTGTAAAAAAATGTTATACCCTACATAAACTAAACCTATTTAGACTGTGCATATAGTTAAATTTTACAAATGATAATATATTATGAACTCGAGTAACTAAACAATATATCATAATCTTCCAAATTCTTAGAAGGGGCATTTGATACGTAGTATGTATTTCGGCGAATTATTATTGTTTCTCATTGTTTTATACAATCAATTTGAGCGTCTATCATACCTCAAAATTAGATTAATTCATAATTTAAATAGGGGTAAATTGCAAGGTTGGTCACTGGAAGTACTAAAAAACTCACGTTTGGTCACTAAAAGTATTTTATTCTATTCATGGTCACTAAAAGTAGCTCTTCTATTCAAGTTTGGTCACTCTCCGTTAGTCTCCGTTAAATTTCGCTGATGTGGCAGTCAACTCTGTTAGTTGACCGTTAAAATAGTGACGTGGCAATTAAATATAAAAAAATAAAAATTTACAATTTCCACCTCATTTTCATAACTATTAAAAAAATAAAATAAAATAAAATAACTTAATCCACCATCCCTGCCCTCTTCTTCCTCCTCTTCCTCACTACGAGAAGTAATCTCGCTTTTGCACAAAATCACTGAAAGAGTTGGGTTTCTTTCTTGTCCTGTGGGCAGTTGGAGCGCTGCTCTAAGGACGAAATCTATACTTCACCATCTCTAGTTTAGATCTGCTCGGTCTCTGCTTCTTGGACTTCGCTTCCCTAGCCAGTGTTTCAATTTGATGCTCTGTCTCACCTTTTGGGTTGTTGGTTGACAGATCGAGTAGGCGGCAGAACTTGAGGCTTCTTCAAAGAGGCGGATGAAGTCTTGTTTAGCTTGCCAAGCTCTAATGTACTCTCTCGAAATTGGCTCATACACGACAAAAGCTTGGGGATTTTCTTCAGTTGCTAGGTTTGAATAAAGGGTTGAGAGGTTTTGGCTTAGGGAAATTGGAAGGATGGTTTCGGGGAGGTCAGGGTGGGAAAGGTTAGCTGGTACAAATGAGGGAGGCAGGGAGGAAATGTTGACGAGGGCGTTAGCTAAAGTGGGGGAGCTAGGGATTTTGTGTGGGGTCTGGGAGTAAGGGTGGGAAGAAACACCGGAATCGGAAAAGGGGGGTTGGGCACCAACTCGAAAAGAGGGGGATCAGAAAATGAGAGGGTGGAGTTTGATCAAGCTAATCGATGAGTACCTCCTCCACCTCCGCCCTCTCCTTCGGCCTCACCTTCTTCCTCTCTCACGACAATTAGATCCTCAAAAGTCCCGGCAGGTACCTCGCCTTCGTCAACGCCTCGCCGTCGAGTTCGACACCCAGGTTTATCCCCACTTCGGTAAACTCAATCTCCACTGGTTTCTCCTGGGACAAGGGCGGCGACGGAAGTGAGGAAGAGGAGGCGGAGGTGGTGGAGAAAGGATTTTTTTTTATAGTTATGAAAATGAGGTGGAATTTTAAAGTTTTTTATATTTTATTTTTAATTGCCACATCACTCATTTAATGGTCAACTATTAGAGTTGACTGCCACATCAGCGAAACTTAACGGAGACTAACGGAGAGTGACCAAACTTGAACAGAAGAGCTACTTTTAGTGACCATGAATAGAATAAAATACTTTTAGTGACCAAATGTGAGTTTTTTAGTACTTCCAGTGACCAACCTTGCAATTTACCCATTTAAATAGCGTATGCTATCATACCTCAGATTTAGATTAATTTATGATTTAAATAGTGTGTTTTATTTTTGTTTCTAACATATATCAAAATAATTAATTAATATTTGTATAATAAATAATTAATGTAATGTTGGGGAGGCTTTATTTCCAACTCACGCCAGCCAAAGGGCGAGAGACTGAGAGCTCATGTGCCTTACAAAAAGGGCAGAGAGCAGATAACAGCAGAGGGAATCTCAAAGATTTGGCACTCAACATGAATCTTCTTCATATCTTTTTAATTACTTATTAATTATCATAACCCCACATTTTTTTAAATTAATCTTTCACTAGATCAAGTCTGCGTACTATTGGTTGCGACCAACTTTTCATGCTCTCTCTCTCTCTCTCTCTCTGCATAATAATTGAGATTAAGCAGAACCCTAGACTTAAACTAAAACGATAATCGACAGTCAAAAGCATGGTATGTGTGCTCTGCATCAAAAGAAGAATACGAGGAATTGAATATAATAGTGTGAAGCTAGGTAGGTTAATTAGGTGGCATTGGGATCTTTGCATGGATCCATAATGTGGGGTTTTTGGCTCACTAATTAACTGAGAAGGATGCCTATATGGCTACATCAGTACCCATTAATCATAATTTCGATTTGGAAAGATTATTGTAAGCACTTTGAATTGGTCGTTACGATTTGATTTCTGAATTAGTGCTAGCTATCTAATTAAAACCTTCTAGATTGTATATTAATTAATTAATCAGGAGCAAAATATTATTATCATATGAGAAGGGGAATTGCCTGTGGCCATTCCTCTGCAGCTGCGTGCCATGAAACAGTTTTGAACTTGATCCAAAAGTTTAAATTATCGGGACAAACTTGTGTTTTACAAGTCATTAAGACTTTGACGTATCTTCTGTTCAAATCTTCCTAATCTACCTAACCCATGATCATATCATATGCAATGAGTTCTAATGGTTGGGAGACAAGGAACAGCAGAGGAATCAGGATAGTTGACTCTTGTTTACCTAGAAAATGTAGAAGAAGAAAAAAAGCTATAAAAACATTCCACGACATAAGCTATAATTATCTAGCTACATTTCAGAGTGCATGCAATTATGAGACGACTTTTTAATTTTATCAAATGAAGATCGAGGGTGGTTGAAGAGGCCAACAAATATGTAATTTAATATTTTTTTTTCGTATTTTGCTACTGTGTTCATGGGGAGTATGAGAGAACGTATTCACATCGCATCACGTTATTTGGATCATTTGTGGACGATTCTTAGCCGTCAAATGAGGAGCGACGACATTTTGTTTACATAAATATCCTCATGTTCATCCGACAGCTACGGAGCGTCCGTGCTCGATTCGACGAGCACAAAATGTTTGTGAGCACATTCTCGTAGATGCCCAACTGTTATAAGCACCATAGTCGGATTCAACCTCGTGCGTATATAACTTGAAACCCATAGGAAAGGATCTACTGTGGAAATTGCATAAACATATATATAGATTGGTAGGGTTTGTTTACTTCCTATGTGGAACCCAAAAACAAAAGAATTGTTGTCTGTCCCCCTCCATTAGCAAAATATAGCCCACGAGAAAGAGACTAAGAGAGTGATGAGGATGACATGATATATTAGTAGTGGGCATTGAAATGGAAGCTGATTTGCTAGGCCTTTCAATTTCATCATTTGCTTGGCAAAGTGGTGGACAAGCCATTGAAATATATAATGCACCCTTTATGTTGCTCTCCTTACATGTGTTTGGATTTGGAAAGGATCTATATTGCTAGTAGCCTTGATCATGACAATTTCACTTTGTTGGAAAAATGAAATTGTTCAAAGTTATTCGGAGGATTTCGTAAATCTAACGTAAATTTTTTGTTCATTCAGAAAGATAAATTATCGTGATAGTAACAATTATTTCTAACCAATAATTTCTAACTTTTGCACACTTTGCTATATGTTCAATACTATCTCACTGCATGTACATCCATATAATCCTGGTTCCTTTACCCGACATGTCGTTGCATTTTTTCCCCTTTCGGTACGATAGAGCTCGTTAGAGTTAACGATGCTAGGAATCACACCAAATATGGTAACCAACTTCCTTGACCCATATTGCTTCTTTAGCGACATTTGAAGAAGCCGTGTGTTTAATTTGTGTAATAAAATCGACTATGTTGTTGCTTTCGACTCAGTAATCTTAGAAAGCCGTCATTATTCCCCTGAGAAAAAAAAGCATACCTTGATCACACCAAAAAGTATCAAAATCTAATCTAATCAAAGCATACCTAGAATTATTTACAATCTGAATACCCGCATAACTATTTACAATTAGTTCACCTTCTCCTCAAAAACACCACCAACATATTCAAAAAACTGCCAAACCAGTTCAAATTATTGCTACTTAATTAGCAAGTGGCCGTGGGTTTTTCAGTACTTCAGTTCTTGATTCTGGTGGCTGCATTGCTATATGATCATGAGGCGAAAAGACACCAAACCAAAGGTATAGATGCTTTACCAGAGGCAATCAAATAAATAAAAGATTGGAGGACTTTATTTGCGTTAAAAGAAACAAACCTCTGGCCTGTTAAAGCTAAAGTTGATTGAGCAAAAGCAACTAATAACCCAATAAACAAAATCAAAAGCACCAATAAGTAGGGGTAGGCATTAGGTGGGTCGGGTGGATTTTGACCATAAAATGTACCCACCCGCGCTTAAACGGATTGGTAATTTTTAACCCACCACCCGCCCACATTTAGTCTCGGGTTGGGTCGGGCGGATGGTGGATGATGCGGGTGGGTTTGTGGGTTCACCCACATCACAATGTATATAATATAAAGGAGTCAACTTGACATGATAATCGGTG